GTTACCGCTGCAAAGGGGAACGACGATGAGGGAAGGCAGTCGTTTTGGCAGCATTTTCTGCTATCCGTTTTCTGCTGCCACTTCTGGCCAAATAATTTGACAGTCGGATCGACTAAGCGTGTTCTTGGACAACAGAGTGGACATTTGTGGTCATGGAACCAATTTTCTAATTTTTGAAGTCCATCGGCTGTTTTTCAGGTGAGTCTCACATGATAGTTCTATCACCTTTTGGCAAGGTAGTAAAGTCAAAAATCACGCCTGTTAATCGAACTTGTATACCTAGGTGATCCAGGCGAGAGATTGCGTTCTGTTCGTTTCATCGCTCTTCGCAACCTCATCACTTTATTCTCATTGACCTTAGTAGCAGATAAGCATTATATGCCGTAGATCATGGCCGTACGAAGGTTGACTCGAATAATTCTTTGTCTGTTCGTATGAACAGCTTACTGTCGAGTATTGGTGTTTTAATAGGATGAAAACTGGTTCATGCTGCCTTGCTTCTTCGACTGATTTTCCCGTCTAGCGAGTTTACGCGGTCCACCTGACGGCCAAGATATGCATAGCTGGTGATTTCTTTGAGTTCTTTGCCAACCGAGCATAAACAGCCTTCGCGGAAGTGCTCGTTCCGTGTATGTTTTTTCTTGGGGAGGCTGACCTCCAAACCGACGGTGAGAGACTTCTTGCAACTGCCAGATCCTCATTTGGAGATTTATCGTCTCTTTTGCAAAGACGATGTAGCCGTCCACAAATAAAAAACAATTTAACTGCTTTGTCTCATATCGAGGCCGGTTGAAGAGTGACTCCAAAGCTGCAGCGAAGAGCTTGGATGGGATGGCATCTCCTGGATGCACTCTTCGATGGATACAGACTCAGACATATGCTTAATATAAAAGATACCATATCAAAAATGGCGTAAACTTTAACAATTACTTGTCCACAACACATTTAGAGTGATGACCATATGAATACATAAATTTCGAAGGCTGTTACGCCGGACACAATATGATTAATTTACACAACCAAAATGCAGATAATTGGCAGCTGCGCTTTAAAATACTGTCAGTCCGGGGCTGAGCAGGACTGATTCGTTTCGTCCAACTTTTCATAAAAGGCATTGGTATTAGGAACTATTCTCCTCCGTACTCTTTATCTTCTATTGTCACTTGAGCTATTAATCAGAAGACATACAACATCGGGGTTTTCTCCATGATGGCAGTTCATAAGTAAACATTTAACAACAGTGCAAGGAATGGCTAAAATCAACTCGATTCAATTTCAGGGGCCACGTTATGCATGCATAGAGCTATCAATCAAGCATCACCTTAAAACATTCTTTTCTCAATGGCGGGATTTCGTTGCAAAAAATAACTTACTTCTTTAATGTGATCAGCCGCCAGAGGAACAACGCCTGCCGATTGTAAATGTACCCTGGTCAATATAGTTTCATTCCACCTGCCCGTTGTATTGCTTCGATCTAAATTTGCAAAATTCCCTGGGCTGAGAAAACGCTTCGCTTACAGCTGAGTAACCTACATTTTTCGGCAATTCCGGTTTGCTTTCTTTCCCAAAAGGACTATGACAGATTGGTTCGTCCAGTTATCATAAGAAGAACCCATGATGAAATGTAAAAGTGTATGAACGGAAGACCAGAATGACAAGAACAGATGAGAAGACAAATAAATGTTTAAGACCTGAAACAGGAGGCTGCGATGCCACTGTCAGGAGTCATCCAGTTAAGGTGGCAATTGGCAGGGTATGTTGCGAGAAGAATCAAACATCGCTGGATCTGAGAATCATTAGACTCGATTGTAAAAGAGAACAAACGATATGTAGGAAAACCTCCAGATCGATGGCAGAATGAACTGAAGAAGTTTGCTGTATCAAGATGGATAGAAATGGCAAGAAACAGAAGTTCATGGCAAATTCTTGGGAAGATATTCATTCAGCAGGGGATCGAAAATGGGTTATGACGACTACGATGACAATGCTTAAATACATATGGAACACACGAAAGAATATTTTCAATAATCAAGTATGACAGAGGAATTCTCTTCTCTGAATTCGCTGGGCTAGATGAAGATTTGAGACATAATGACATAGTTAACGAGGAATGGAACCTCGGATGGGCTGCCGAACAACAGCTCGCTGAATACGCTCAACAACACGAATGATTGGACGAGGACCGACCAGCGTTCATGGCATGCCCACAATTAACTCAAACTGGATGAAGGATTAGGTAAG